CGACGACACCCCACAGTAAAGTATGAAAGTATAAACAGGGCGGCCAGGCGAGTATGTGTTCCATAGTTACCTTCTTTGGGGGGGGGGGGGGGGGAGACGAGGGTCGGAGGGAGGGACCCGAAGGCACGGCGCCCGCAGCCGCACAGGCGCAGCCGCAGGACGCAGGTGCCGCGCCGCGGCGCCGCGGGCCGGGCGGCGCAGCGGCCACCGGCCAGCGCTCGCTCGGCACCACAGAGTCTCCACAGACCACACCGCACCAGCGCGGGACCGGGAGCCGGGACGCGGGAGGGACGCACCAGCCACCACCCACGCCACCACGATATCCACGTCGCACGTCCACGTGCATATCCCCCCCCCCACTGAGTCCGCGCCACTGCCCACACACGACTCAGCACTCAGCCACTCACACGTCCACACCGCGGGTCCGCGCAGAGGCCAGAGAGCCAGAGGCCAGGATACCGTCACATTTACTCCGCTGTGGTCTGTGCACGGCACAGGCCACAACGACACACGCTAAGACCTGAGAGCGGACTCTCGGTCTCGCGCGTCGCGGCCACGCACGGCCTCTGCCGACTGCCCTGGCTCCGCTCGCGAAAGTAACCGAAAGCTCGGGCGGCTCTCTAGACAGACAAACCGCTCTCTCTACTCTCTTTTGCGCCGTCGGCCTGGGTCGGCGCGGATCCACAGACTGGACACTGGACTGTATTGGAGTCTCATTACTTATGGCTCACCGCATGCTCATGCAATACGCGAAGCACACACCCGTCGGCTGCCGTTCCCGTTGCGGTAGATGGCGACTGAGAACACGCGCACCTCGCCGTTGGCGCACTCGGAGGCATCGGGCCTGCCCAACGGCCCACGCTCGAGCTCGGCCAGGAATGCCTTGTGTGACACCAGCGCAACCGCGTGGTGGTTCAGGCCGTGCTCCTCAAGCAGGTCCAGCACCTGTGCAGCCCGCCCCCTGAGCATGACGCGGTTCTCGAGCGCTCGGCTTGGTGGGGCGGAGCTGCTGTTGCCCTGGCTCTCTTCGTCACAGACCCCGAAGCTGTCTACGCCATGTAGGGCCATTAGCCCCAGAGTGGAAGCTACCTGGGGCAGCGGGCGGCGCCCGCCACCCTGCTTTCTGCCTATGCGAGTGTCGAGCTCGCTCGCTGCTGCCTCCGCATCGCTAGCCATCCCAATGAGCCGTGGCCAGGTCGAGTTGCGCCTCATCGGCCCGACACTCTTGCTCGTCGCCGCGCTGCCGTCATGCTCCACAA